AAGTGATATGATGACCAAGCCTCTGGACTTTTGGAAGACCGTATTGTTCTCAGACGAATCAAGATTCGCTCAATTTTTGGACAGTAGAAGGATATGGGTCTGGAGAAAGCCTTACCAAGAGTTTTGGTTCAACAGATTGCAGCCAACTGTGAAGCATGGTGGTTTCAGCGTGATGGTTTGGGGAGCTGTTTGGGTTGGTGGGAGGTCGAGCTTAGTGGAGTGCGTTGGCAACATAAATTTTGCGAAATACGTCGAAATATTGGAGGAAGGACTCTTGCCACTCTATTCCTCGGGTTTCGTGGACAAGAACACAACGTTGTTCCAGGAAGATAGAGCACCGTGTCACACAGCTAGAAACACCCAAAAGTGGCAGAAAGAAAATGGTATCCAGAAGTTGCCCTGGCCAAGCCAATCTCCTGACATGATCCCCATCGAAAACCTCTGGGCCATTCTCGACCGGCAAGTCAAGAAACAACCAAAAAACCAACTTCGAAGAGCGATCTTCTCCAAATTTTGAAGCAAGAGTGGGCGAAAATCCCACAATCTAAAATTGACGAAATGATTCTCACGATGCCCCAAAGAATCCACGAACTCCACGAAGCGAAAGGAAGATCTACTAGATATTAATTAAAATATAAATATATCAATTCATGTGAATATGACTGAAAATTTTCATTTTTTCTGAAAAGGTGGTGTCTATTTACTTGTGACCATGCTGTATGTATAGAAAACATCTGAGGTAAATTTGCAATTATGAGACTCTTAATTTAGTTGCATGTTTAATACATAATTGTTTCTTTAAAACCACCAAAACAATAGTTATATGTATTTGTTTTTGTAAATTATATTATAAGTCACACATACAAGCAAATTCATTGCTGTATGTGCATATGACCACCTTTTTGTGTGTGTTTATGTGGACAATTTCACCCCTGTTAATAAGAAATCCATTTTCAAGATAATTACTTATATCATTATAAATAAGCTTTGCACTCAATTTTTCATTTCACATGACTAGCACAAAACACTTAAACTTTAAAAAATTCTTCATTCTGAACAGCTGCAATATAAACTTTACTTAGAAGAAAACTTCAAATTCAGACACCTGAATAAACCTTTAATTGTAAGCTTTGAAATTTAGACCAATTTTACACAGTCTTAATGGCTGTTACATTAAATTGGATATAAATTTTATGTTATGAATTTAAAATTCAAATAGTCAAACATAAAACATTATAATTCTTATGAGTAAGCTTTAAAACATTCAGGCTGAAGTTAATTCAAATTAAAATTATACACGTGTAAACTTAAGAAGTTTGAATTTCAAGTTTAATCCTATTAATTACAACATTAGCTTTCACTTTTTGTATGTGTGAATAAACATATATACAGAATTAATATATTAATATGAAACTGCTGAGCTAAAATAAATGTCAAATCTATACAGTACAAGGTTGAGATGGTATATGAATTACTATGCTAAGTAAAACATTTCATTAAAATAATCTTATCTTGAAAGTTTGTAAAATTATTAATAACTGTCAAAGATGCATTACAGCAATATTAAGGTTTTCAAAACTATATTTTAAATTACTGATAATGTAAGGGAAATATATTTTTTCAACTGAATGAACCATACAAATGTATTTGAAAAATTATAATTGTAAAGCACAAGCCTAGATATTCATAAATATATGTTATTAATAAAAATAAATACTATCAGCAACCCCTAAATATATATATATATATATATATAAATATATAATGTATCTTCACATATTTAAAATTTCTGAAGAGCAAACATTTCTGAACAGTAGGATTTGTACTTACATGAAAAAGTATTATACCTCTTCTAAAAAATAATGGTCATGCAAAATATTCAAATTATGTAAATTCAGCAAAATTTCAGGAACTATTCAAAGTTGAATACAATAAGCTTCATTTTGATAATATCTATATTTTTCAAACACAATTTTTCATTATGAACTGTTGCTTTGTCAGATTTCTTGAAAATATTGACTCAAGGCTGTATAACATAAGAAGGTTCATTTACAGTTTTAGCAAAAGAGAAAACTTTTATTTCCAAATGTTGATTGCCGACTTCCTTAGTTTTAATGTGGTGGTTTCAATAGCATGTAGAGTTAACTCATTCTATGCTCTGAGAAGGATCCTGAAGTGTTTGTTGTTTGGCGAGCTGTCGTTACAGTTCAATATGTGTTTTTTCTATTGTTGTGGGGTTTACACTTCTGACTTGTTCTTCTTATCTCCTGGCTGTTGATCCTACATACTCTTTTTTGGAGCTTGAGTATTAGTACTGGTGCATGAATCAACTGTTTACATAACTCCATACTTATGCATCAGTATAATGTTTGAGTTGCAAAATAGAAAGAGTACATAGGACCAATAGCAAGGAGACTAGAAGAATGAATCAATGCACACATAAACTTCAGAAGAGTAAACTTCACACGAGTATAAAACATATACTGACAGCCCACCAAACAGTCAACACTTCAAGTTCCTTCTCAAAGAACAAAATAAGATAAATCTATGTGTTCTTAAGATCACCATAATAAAAAATTAAGGAACAAGAGCTTCCACTTTTGTTAGACTATATATCATTAAAGCTTTGAATCTTGCTCATTTTCAGAACACTTGAGATTCCATAAAATATATAAACAACTAAATTTTGAAAAGGTAAAACAAAGATACAACAAGTATAAATAAAAACAATAATCATATAAGATAAATTGTTTTATCATAATAAATGTTAAGATCTTTTGTTAAAATTAGTGCACAAACATTCAAGTTTAGTAAAATATTACAACAAATTACTGTAAACCATCAAAACTTTTGTTAGATCTTATTCTACTGAGCATTGAAGATCATTTCTATTTTTCTATGCTCTTGGCATTGAGATCATGAAAGGTGTTATTTACTGTAATTTGTAATAATTCATGAAAAAATAGATTTAAGCATTATGATGTACTTTTTATCCATTAAACTCTCTGAGAAAGCAAATGGTAAGCTGTTTTAAAACTTCTGCATTCAGTCTACCTGCTTTTTTCTAATAATTTACAATGAAATAAATTTAGTATGTGTTTCAGCTAATAAGTTACTCACTGTGCAATTACAAAAATGTTTTGTCATGTATTTATACTTCATATTAGTTTCATAAATATTTGAAATCTCTTAATAAAAACCTACTTCCCTTTTTTATAATACTGTGGATTTGTGAATCAATGAAAAAAAAGCCAATGACTCAATCTTTAAAACATTAAAAATACATATAATCTGTATACATTTCAAATGTCATAATTTATATCTTAAATCATTTTGTACATGTTATATGATGTTTATTGAACTGAAGTTGGTCCACTAACTAAGTTACACATGGCATTGCACTTTAAATATACAGTTTCCATACTGAGATAGGTTGTCTACAAAAGCTTGATATTCCTAGTTCTCGACCGCCAATCACATACATGCAGAGCTCCCACTTGTGTTGTTCTTCTTTGTTTTTTGATAAGCTTCTGGCCAATTTTGAATTAGAAACATTAATAACTTTTTCTTGTGTTACTTCACAATCAGGTAAGGCATTAGTTTGCAAATCAGATGGTACTACAGTTGCTGTTTCCTTGGCTGCTGTGTGAACAGTTTTCTGTGAATTTTCTAAGACCTGTTCTATTCCTTCTCTGTTATCACTCTTTGTCATGTTACCTCTGCAGAAATTACCTAAAATGAGTTCATGGGTTGGATTAAGGAGTTGCATTTCCACAGGATTACCTTTCCTTTGATATAAAACACGATCATAAGTCTCTGGATTTAAAACACTAGCAAAATCTTGATGGATATCTTTAATATGGTTGGACTCATCTTTGGTAACAGACTGATGTTGTGAGTTTCTAGAGACTGAGTTAGACATGCCAAATTCATCACCAACTGGGCTGCAAGCCTGGGAACAATCCTCTAACACAGGAGAAAAATTTGACCTTTGTTCATTTATTTTTGATATCTTTGACTGATGAAGATTTATATCTTCTAAGTCAATCAACAAAGCTCCAGCAGAAGTTCTTTGGTTGCTACAGTAATCGGATTTTACATCCTTAGTACTTACATTAGTTCTTTTATCATCCATATCTATGATAGATGAATATTCATGTTCAAGTGGAACAGATCTTGGAGAATGAAAGGCAAAAGCATAATCCTTGGAGCAACTTTCTACTGGTGTTACCGAGTTGATGCCACTATCTGGAATCTGATCCATATTCTCATTGCCAACTTTCTCATTACTAGTCCAACAAAATTGATCGATAGCTTGAGACACTTTGAATTGCTGTGATAAATGTTGTAAATCATAGATTTCAAAAGATTCGTTTTTTACAAGTGGTTCACGATCATCTGGAAACACAACATCATTTTTCTTTTGGAAAGTTGATAGTTTGCCACCTGACACTAAAACTGCCTCAGAGCTAGAAGATTTCTGAATTAGAAGGTTTGGAGAAGAGAGAGGGCTTTCTTGAAGTGAACAAGTTTCTTCCATGAGGCACATCAACTCTTCTTCTTGTTCAGAAACATAAGGACTACAAAGAACATTGTGGCTACCACTGCGTAAATTTTTGAGCAAACTGCTACTTTTTAATCCATCTCTTAATGACCTGAAGAAAAAAAAAGGCATTTTGGAAATGTTTAATATGTTAAGAGCAGGATTATACACTATTTAAAGAAAGTTCACAAGCATTGCAATTTAAAGTGCAGTATTTTCTCCCTTATTTGTGACAAATTTTTATGCAACTCATATCAAATTTAATTCCTAGGAAGTGTGCTTGTTTGTTGTTAAGCACAAAGCTACACAAGGGGCTGTCTGTGTTGTGCCAACCATGGGTATTGAAACCTGGGTTTTAGCATTATAAGCCTTCAGACTTATTACTGAGCCATTGGAAGGCCTTGGTAAGAGTGAAAAATAACCTAGCATTATATGGAAAGGCCTTCTATAAATGAATAAATCAAGGAGCCACTTTTAACTTTCTAGAACTTATTAGTTACAAATTAAAACTGTTGATGTAAAAATGCATCACTAAGTATAATAAATTTTTAAATTTTACTACTACAGATAAATAATAATTCAACTTTTGCAAGATTTTGACTAAAGTTTTTGTAACAAGAATACTTAATTTAATTAAAAATGTGTTTGTATATTATTATTTAAGAAAAATTAAGATAAGAATAAGCAAGTAACTTAAACAAACATAAAAGTTAACATTTTCCTATACTGAAAATGTATTTCCAGTAATACTTACTTTTGCTCATACCATAGCTTTGTTCCGACGATAATTACCATTCTCTGCCAATCTAATCATTGGTATGAATCTTACTTCACTTGCTCCAGCCTTTATTCACCACTTTATTGCTTATAGCAGGTTAAATCATGTGATTCTCTCTACCTACATCAATGCACCCTCTAGCCCAGATCCGTATATAAGCTCCAAATTAGAAGACCTGAACACCAGCCATCATGGGGAGGAAGGGCAGGAGAGTGTAATGGAGGTAAGTATTATAGGAAATACATTTTTGGTATAGGAAAATATTAACTTCCAAAACACTTACCTCTACTCACACTATAGCTAGAATCCAACATTGAAAAGATGGAGGGGCTGGTGAGGACAACATCTACACAGAAAGTGTCTTTACAGAAAAGAGGTGTGCAAAAATGAGATATAGTAATGGCACACTAGTAGGATCTGCATTACTTCTGGAACAGGTATGTTCTTTGTCCAGACAGTGTGAAACCTAATTTCTGGGTGGTAAAGGCTGACCAGCCACAAAGGTAAAACCCTAACATCATGAGAAGAAAACATGAATTTAGGGAGAACTATACCAGAACTGGCCTGCTCCTGCAATACCAGACGTATCCAGTCACACTTAGTCGGTCAGCCAACATACAGATCCTCCACATTTTATGAAATATTGTACATTACTCATGGGATTTGTCCAGGCCCCAACCAGGTGGATGAGATCCCACATTTTGTCATTGGAATTATATGGCTGTGGACCCAAAGCTAGATCCAAATCATAGTGGCTAGTGCATGAGAACCACATTGGAATCAAACCTGGAAGTTACAAAATATTGCAAGTCGAGCCACTGGAATTACAAAGAGAATGCAAGCAACACAAAAATGGACAAACCCTTGCCTCAACCTGAAGAAATGCAAAATGCAACAAACTGAACTAATAATTATGGGACCTTACTTATCTCACTCAACTTGAAGAAACAGAGGTTACCTGGCCTGGGATTATGAAGAGAAGTCCTAGCTCTCCAACCTGAGAGGCAATGCAGCACCTCCTGCTCCCAGAATTACGAGGAGGATGTGGAACAAACTAAGTCCAACTAATGGCACTGGAATTGATGCTCTTCGTGGGGAATTAGGAAGGGTTGAGGACCCTCTTCCATGATTATCAAAATGAAGATAATGACCAAAAAGAAGGGCCACGCTCAACTCAACCGGACAGCTAAGTGTCATAGCTGAACCGGAATTATGAGAAGGCTCCCATGTAGGCTACTCCTGCTCCCACCATACATCTGGAAAAACCATTCAGGGTTATTGGTAGGAGGGCACCCATCTTCACCCTCTTCTCCTTGAGTGGAATAATGAGTTCAAGCATCACCCAAGAGGAATAGATCTTTATCCACCACTCCAGCAATTGGAAACTGGGAGTAGTTAGGACTCTCATGCTCCACTAGGAGAAATGTGGAGATAACGTGCATTGGGGAGTCCAAAGAACGACGCTCCAGAGACAGTGCAATAAGTGAACCATGTTCCCTCTTTTAAAAACCAACCCCCAATTTACTCAATCCAGGGTTCAGAAGGGACATGCAAAATCGCAATATGTTTTACTTATGATAGTCCATGGCATTCCAGTAGTGTATATAATTGTTTACCACCCAGAAAGTCATAAGGTGATCTTATGGAACACCCCATCTCAATAGAGCTAGTTGTTACCAGAAAAACTTTCATCACTCAACTGGTAGCTAGGGAAAGAAGCATACCTGCCACTGAGTGGGATCCAAATGAAAATGACAAGAAGGTCCCTGAAAAAAGAATAGAACTAAATACAAAAGAAATGCAGTAACTCACAATCTAGCTGGGGTGTGGAGAATAGTCATGGGGAGGGGGATATAGCCAAAAATCATCAGAGAAGGAAACTGCCAGGTTATGTAAATAATGAGATATAAATGTATTTGGCATGGTTCACATACCAGCCCATACAATCTCCTTCAGTGGGTGACACAACTGAAACACAATGGCGATGTGCCCCCAAAAATCTTCAGCGCACACAACATAACAACAGAAAACCCAAACAGGATCCAAGAGGTCATAAAAATAAGAAATGGAGGGAAGTTGAAAAGGAGAGAAAGTCTTATCTCATTCTCTAGCTGCTGAAGTTTTGTGTAGAAAGGACCTATCTGGATACAACAGAACACAGGCTGAATGGTAAGGAGTCCTATGAACATGAATCACAAAAACATCCAAACAATGATATTTGCTAGCCAATAACATAAGAAAATAAGTCTTAAGTGAAAGGTGATAAAAAGAACATGATGCCAATTGTTTAAAGGGTGGAAGAGATAAGGCATGGAGAACCACTGTAATATCCAAATTGGGAAAATGGAAAGCAGGTCAAGGACGGATAACCCAAAAAGATTTCAGAAGAAAGGGCAAAATAAAAAATTTATGTCTCCTAGAAAAACAAAAAGTACCTGACAAGGCTGCCTTATATAGAGAAACGGATGAAGGTGCCAAACCTTTGTTGAATAACAGTGTCAGAAATTGAGAAACATGTGTCAAAGTGGGACAAGAAGGATTACAACCATGTCTGGGAGACCACTGATGATGAGTAAATCATTTCTGTCGATAAATGTTCAAAGAAGAATGCTGAAGGGCCGCATTAATAAAGATGCCACCCGAGAGGTCAATCCCTGACATCATGCAATGGACTGCATAAAATCCAGGTGTGAAATTGGAGAATGGTGATCACCAGATGAAAAATTTCTGACATACGGTTAACATGAGACCTCATGTTAGACTCCATCTCTCTGTGTATGAGGGACTGGATGTCCTGGTTGGAAACGCCCCCCCCCCCCCGACCACCCAGGTAATGCTAGACTCCAGGACATGAAATTTTTTAATAGTAAAATAAAGAAAATAATAACAAACTCAATACCCTATAAGATGGATCTTAAAAAAAAGCATAGGTATAACTAAAACTATTCAACTCTAAAAAGAAACCCACAGCAAGCATGTAAAACCATTCAAATTCGATGACGAGGAACCCACTTTGAGACTAATAATGGCTGGAGATGGCTTGAATTGGTAATGAAGAAAAACTTTAATATAAGTTTAACATAACAGCAAATGTACAACGTTTTGACAAGGTTTTGCCCAAGACTTGATGGTCAAGAAGGCAGGGGAAGAAACAGAAATGCTGGATGCACGAGAAAAGCTCTTACAGAGAGTGTTGGTGATGTTCCGAACCTCAGCAACTTCCTGGCTATTGGAGAGCAAGATCAAAAAGGGATGGGAAGCATACCACCCTTTGACCTTCCGAATCTCGTTCCATATGACTTTGGAACTGGTGGTAGAAGAGATTCTAGATGTAAACTTAATCCAAGATTCCTTTTGCCTTTGACGTCTGATCTGCCAAGTATGGGCATGGGCTTGCTGGAAGAGTGGGATACATGCAAAATTTTCTATTTCCACATGAAAAGCTTGAAAATTATTGTACATTTTAATAGCATATATATAAATAATATACAAGAAAGAAGCTTGTTTTAAGGAGGGAGGAAATGTAAAATGTTAATTTAAAACTAAAGCTTACCTTGAATATCACTAAAACTAGAATCTCACATATACATACTTACTCAAAAAGCTGCAAATGCAAATAACCAGTGTCTAGCTGCTGATCAACTTATAAGCATGTAATAATCAGATTGTTGAAGTGGTAATTCAAATTTTATTATACAATTTGAAAATCAATCCATTAATGATCCCACAAAATACATTAATCTATCAAAAACTTATGTAAAGAAGGAAAAGTGCATTTCTCAGAACTGAAAATCTAATCTTGTGTCTAGATAAGTGCAGACAGAACTATGTTAGACTGTCTCAAAACGCAGGACAGTGGGTTTCCAAAATACAATCTAGAATGAAAAGTACTTTCAAACCATGCTCTTGATGCTAAGAATGTACTGAACAACTCACTCTGAAGATCAATGAAGGAATACAACGTGCTAATTTTCTACAGAAAGTTATTGTTGCCATAAGCAGGATATAAAAACTATTAGAATAAAGCATATTGTACACAAAAACACCTGTTTATTGTCAATTAGGTCAACACTGATCATCAGCAGAGGAAAAAGATGGATTTCACTGCAAGATGAGTTATAAATGACATAAATAATGAAAGGTAACTGCAGAAGGAGATTGCAACATTTCATCTCTTAGAATGTTTCTCCAAGTATCCAGAGGAATGAGTAGTATTAAAAATCGAGAAATTAAAATGAATTAAAGTCCCTCAATCTCTGTTGAGCAAAGACTGAAGCTCATGAAAGAGGTGAAAGTCCATTGTGTCACCTATATGTAAATATTTCAGTCTATAAAGAGTCTTTCAAAACAGTTTAGCAAAACTGGTTGAATGGAAATAATTAGTGATAAAAGAATCATCAGGAACCAAAGGAAATTCTATCCTGGTCTAAATGAGTAGGGCTATCTTAAAAATCTACAGAGCCAAACTCTAAAACCTTGCAGACAAAAATAATCATTTGTCTTATGTAACTAAAAAAGATAAAGTAAAAACCAAAATCCCACTTACTGCTTTGATGATCTAAAACACCAGACCAAACCTCTTATTCATGAATATCTAACAAGATTTTGCACTCCAAACCAGACAAGAGGGATCATGTTCCTTTATTTTCAGCAGGCAGCCTATGAGTCTCAGAGATATGAACATGCAGCTAAAACCTAATCAATCAAGTACCTATCACAGGAAAAAGAAAGGTGTGCTCTATAAGAAAACTGTAAAGCGAAAGATGGGACAAGTTGCCTTCTGCATTAACACAGGGTCTAACATTTGACAGAATATTCAATATTCATAATGAAGTACAACCCTAACTACTAATACCAAAACAAATAAAGAAAATACAGATCCAATCTTTTTACTTTACAAAAAAAAAACAAAAAAAACTCAAAGCAAGAAAGAATTAATGCACAAAACTCAATTAAAGACAGACAAAACCACAACATTTTAAGTCACCATTAAGATCAAAACACAAGTTGACTATATGATGTGGAAAAAATATGATCATAAATAGTAATGATTAAACTAAGTTGTGGCATGGGAAGAAGGGAACAGAAGTAGACACAGTGAGAGAACGAAGATCTGGATCTAACCAAAACCAAGAGAAATAGCTCGAGATATAGTAGAAAGAAATGGAATTATATAGTAAAAATTGCTTTAAGCATCATAAATTAGATATCAGGATTTCTCTTTAATTAAGTAATTCAATCTTTGATCATTTTGATCCACAGAGGTACATCAATGAAGAATATTGTTTTGGTACAGGGGAAGTCAAAAGTGAAAGGTAAAATGAGATGTGACAATACTGCCATTAACTGCAGTATTTTTTTACACAGTTAAAAAAGCAATGACATTTAAGACTAGCAAGATAATCTTGTCTACAAAACTTGCTCCCATACTCACCATGTATTAGGTCGTCAATAAATTAATGTCACATTTCGGAACACTTTCATTAATCACCCCCCAAAAAACATACATCACGTATAATAGTTAAATGAACCACCTAAATGTCATGTTAGTGTAGCCTATATAATGTGTAAAGTTTTGTATACTCTAATCCCTTATAGTGATGGCACACAATGAAACACAAATTTGGCATGTAATGCTGTTTGAATACAAGAAGGAAAACAATGCCTCTGTAGCCACAAAGAATATCAAAGAAGTTTATGGAAGTGTTTTGAATGTTTGTAAGTGTCAACGATGGTTCAGCAAATTTTATTCAAGTGACTTTAGCCTTAAAAACTGTGATGGCAGGAGCCGACATGTTGGAAATGATAATGCCGCTCTGAAGATGCTTGTTGAGTCTAACCAAAGGTAACACACTCGTGAAATGGCCCTGAAATTGCACGTCTCTCATGAAACAATACGTAAACATCTGAGGAATACTGGAAAATTCCATAAAGAAGGTGTTTGGGTGCCTCACAAACTTTCTGATTATCATCGTTTCCAATGTGTGAATGTTGCTTCATCTCTTCTGCCGCGTAATGCACATGAACCATTTTTGGACAGAATTGTCACCAGTGATGAAAAATGGATTCTCTGTGTGAATGTTAGATGCCAAAAACAATGGCTCAGTCCCTGACAAAAATCACTTCTGACTCCAAAACCTGGACTCCATCCACAAAAAGTGATGTTTCGCATTTGGTGGGGCATTAAAGGAGTAACTCATTTCGAATTCCTCAATCCACAGCAAACTGTTAATGCAGAGATCTATAGACAGCAACTGAAATATTTAAATCAAGCCCTTCACTCTTCAATTGGAAAGGTGTTCTTCTTCTCCATGACAATGAACGTTCACATGTGGCACGTTTGATGCAACACAAGATTATGGAGTTGGATTGAGAAGTTCTCTCCCACCTACCATATTCTCCAGATATGGCACCATCAGATTACTATCTTTTTCGTTCACTGCAACACCA